ATTTTGCAAGGACGAAGGAGAAGGGATGAGGAGGAGGAAAGGGGGTCTGATACAGATACCTTGCGTGTCTTGTGTATTGGGGGTGGTGCGGGCGCGGAGATTGTTGCTCTCGCTGGGGTTTGGAGGGAGTTGTTGGATGAGCAAGAAAATGATGATGAAAATGAACACGGTCACATGGATACGGACAATGTGACGACGACGACGACGACGACGACGACGACGATTACTACTGGAGTGGAGGATCTTTCGTTGGATGATGATGAACACGACCACTCAACTGAGAATGTGGAAGAAGAGACAGGAACAGAAAAAACAAAGGAAGCAGAATGTGCACACACCCCATCAAGACGACTGCCGGATCTCTCCGTCACCGCCGTCGATATCGCCGACTGGTCGACCGTCCTCGCGCGGCTCTCGCAGACGATCCATTCGTCTGCCGTGCCGGGCTCGAAGGCCCATCCTGCGCCTTTGCTTCGTCCCCAAACCGTCGAAGAGGGAATAGAAGCAGAGAAGAGAGGGGGACAACGAAGAGGAGGAAGCTCGTTTGATGTCTCCTTCCAACGCCTCGATGTCCTCGCACTCACGGACGAAGAGCTCAGAGCTCTGCTCTGGCGTGATACAAACGCTCATCATAATGATGATCATCAGACTGCTGCAGCAGCAGCAGCAGCAGCAGCAGATCCGTGACGGGACAGCTCTGATCACACTCATGTTCACCCTGAACGAGCTCTTCGCGACCTCCATGGCTAAAACGACACAGTTCCTCCTCCGTCTGACCGACCTCGCTGCGCCGGGCACCATCCTGCTTGTCGTCGACAGTCCAGGGAGCTACTCTACTCTGACGTTGGGGAAGAAAACCCCCCAAAGCAACAGCAATAGCGGCAGCAACGGCAATACTAATAACAGCGATGATAATGGCGGTAATGGTAATGATAAGAGCGGTTCTGCTGCTGCTGTTGCTGCTCCTGCCAGACACTACCCCATGAAGTTCCTCCTCGACCACACCCTCCTCTCTGTTGCGGTGAACAAGTGGGAGAGGGTCCTCTCGGATGATTCGCGCTGGTTTCGGCGCGATGCGGCCAGGTTGCGGTATGATGTTGGAGGGGAGGGAGCCGTCAGACTGGAGGATATGAGGTATCAGATTCATGTTTATCGAAGGTTGCCTTAGAATTGTTGGCTTGGATAGATGCATATGACTATATATATGATTTCAATGAAGTTTACCACGTTACTCCTTGATACCTATACCTACCCAGCTAGATATAGAGGGGAAAATTCCTGAGCCAAGAGTAAAGAGATAACTATTCTTACATGAGGCGAGTGTCTGGCATCATCTGATTACAAACTAATGCACATCATTAAAAAAATTCAATTTGATCACACCTGCCATCCTAAGTCCTCAGTCCCAGAAGAAGACTTGTGTTCTTGCCGCCCTCTTTGCCTTCACCACCACCCGGCAGATACGTAACGTTCGGGTTGTTCGCCAGCGTCTGCGCAATCTCCTTGGTCGCGTCGATGCGACGGATCTGGATGACACCATCACCCGCCTTGGCGATGGCCTTGCTGATAATCTCGGCACTCTCGGCTTCACCCTCCGCCCGGATAACATTCGCCTGCCGCTCCTGCTCGGCCCTCTCAACGACGAACCGCGCGCGCTCGGCGTCCTGCTGCGCGATCTGCTTCTGCTCGACGGCCTTGGTGAACTCCTTGCCAAAGGTCATGTGCGTGATGGACACGTCCTCCAACATGATGTGGAACTGCTCCGCACGGCGCATCAGGTCCGTCCGGATGCGGTTCGAGACGGCCTCTCGCTGGGTGATCAGCTCGGCAGCGTCGAACTGGGCGACGATGGCTTTGAGGACCTCGTTTCCGATCGATGGCAGAACTCGCTCATCGTAGTCTTGACCGTAAGACTAGAGCCTGTTAGAAATAGACAGAATTAAATCTAGCATGCTGGGGCATACCTGGTAGATCTGCGGCAGCTTCGGCACGTCCGGACGGTGCAGCACTCGCAGCGTCAGGCTCACCATCTGCAGGTCCTTGCTTCCCGTCGTCGTGGAGATGTTTCGAGGCTTCGTGCGCACATCGTAGATGATGCTCTTCTGCAGCCAGGGAATCAGGAAGTGGGTGCCCTCGCCGACAACCTTTTCCTGCACTCCGGTCAGACGGTCGAAGATGACGGCGCGGTTGCCCCCCTTGACGTCGTACATGGACGCCTGGATGAGCATGGCCGCGGCAGTGGGCGGAATGATCCACCGGAGGAGGGCGTTGGGGGACGCCATGATGGAAGCTGGATCGGGGACAAAAAGAGATCCAGGTCGTCGGTCTCTTCTTGTCTTGGTGATTGATGGTCGTCGAGCTGCAGCTGCGGCCGTGGTCAAGTCACGGGCTTCCTTTTCGGGCCTAGCGTGCCAATTTCGACTTCCAGCGGAATCCGTCGCCGACAACTTCCTCGACGTCAACTCTTGCGCTCTGCTGTTCCAACAGTCCTGCCAGCTCTCGTTCTTTGTCTCCCTCTCTCTATTCTCTCCCTGTCTGTCCGCTTGATCCGGCGCAATGCACTCCCACGCTGAGCCCAAGAACGGAATGTGAGTCTCCAGCCCTGGAACCCTTTTGCCCGGCCCTTCTCCCGTGCTTTGCCGCGGTTGTCTGGCACAGTTGGCACAATCCACCCAATTGAGCGAGCCAATTCGAGTCAATTGGGAGGTTTATTTGTTTTTTAGGTAGTTAAGTATACTAACAGGTCTTTGTTATAGTTACCTCGGTGGCTGGGGTGACCTCGGTAGGTAACCTCCGATGCAGATTCACCTTCACGACAGTGTGCCTGTGCTCTCAGCTCGTTGCAAATTTCCTTCAGTCTACGAAAGCCTGCTGATCACCGCTCTCAGGCTGCCCAACCCCTCAGAGGGGCATTGTGTCCTACAGTCTTGCTTCCAACCGCCAAAGACCCCTTGCCGGTGCTGCTCATGCCGCCATCTTCAACACCTGGAGACGATTCCGCCACCAGGTGCTCTACGTTGCTCCACCATTCATCTTTGCCTACGCTGCCATGAACTGGGCGATTGAGAGGTAGGGTGGCCCTGTGTCCCTGGGATGGAGGCTATGTTTGCCTATTGGATTGCATGCTAATTCTCCGACTTGAATAGGAACGAATACCTGAACTCCAAGGCGGGCCGCCTGGCTGAGGGTGTTGAGGAGTAAATACTCTGATATTTTCGGATATATGGTCCTGGAGGAAGCGTGCTCGCTCGTGGAGCGGTTCCTGATTGCCTGTACAGTATAGAAGCAATCGAGTCTAACCATTTCATTGGTCTTTCATCTAATTCCCATTGCGTGGTCCTGATTCTACCTAAACCGTAGTCTTGTATTCGACCAGTCTTTGTCATATCCTCAACCGAGTGGTAACTTAGGCAATGCTGGTGCAACATCCTTATGCAACGTGCAATATCTGCACACCACCAGCCTCAAGACCAGCCAATGATGCTGCCATCTGCTGAGCGTATCCTTATCTCGTGCCCTGCATGCCTAGACAGGGCAGTCAACCGCCGGATGGCAAGCTGTGCGGGCTAAGAGCGACGGCGACCCGCAGGTCTGGGCGGGACGCGGCATCCCCCGCCGTTGGGCAGTCCATTGGGAGATGACTGCCTGCACCACTTTTTTTTTCTTTTCTGCGGCAATTTCCTGTAGATGCTTTTTTCTCGTGTTTCTCCTCTCCAACATACCCTCCGTTCAATTTTCCCCAGGAGAGTTCCCTGCCCTCTTGCCTTTGCTCCTCGCTCAGTTGCCCGCACCTCGTTGTTCTCGTCGCTATCCCCTCCTCGCACAATGAGCGAGATCACCCACCCCACTATCAAAGGTAACCACCCCGCCGTGACTCCGACAGCTCAACTTGCACTCTCTCCCGACAGCAACGCATTGCTGACACCCTGTACCAAACAGATGGCTGGTTCGTCGAGGCCTCGGACATGTGGCCCGGCCAGGCCATGACCCTCAAGGTCAACCAGGTTCTCCACCACGAGAAGTCCAAGTACCAGGATGTGCTGGTCTTTGAGAGCACCGACTACGGAACCGTGCTGGTTCTGGACGGTGTCATCCAATGCACGGAGCGCGACGAGTTCTCGTATGTGTTCCCTCCTCTTGTCAGGAAGAGGATGCCAATTGATGAAAAAAAATAGCTACCAGGAGATGATCACCCACCTGGCCATGAACTCGCACCCGAACCCGAAGAAGGTCCTGGTTATTGGCGGTGGTGATGGCGGTGTCTTGCGTGAGGTCGTCAAGCACGAGACTGTGGAGGAGGCCGTGCTGTGTGACATTGACGAGGTGAGTCTCAGTAAAAATTTCTCAACAGTTCAAGACTAATCAATTTCTTGCCAGGCCGTCATTCGTGTGTCCAAGAAGTACCTGCCTGGCATGAGCATCGGGTTCCAGCACCCGGCCGTCAAGGTTCACATTGGCGATGGCTTCGAGTTCCTCCGCGACCGCAAGAACGAGTTCGACGTGATCATCACGGACAGCTCCGACCCCGAAGGTCCGGCCGAGAACCTGTTCCAGAAGCCTTACTTCCAGCTGCTCTACGATGCCCTGCGTGACGGAGGCGTGATCACTACTCAAGGTTGTTCGTGGCCTTTCCTTTTGCCTTGCACATCCCCCCCCCCCCTTTCCCCAAGCGTTCCCCTTTCCTCAATTGCTTGCGATATATCCCCCTTATGAGAATGGATGAGCAAGATATGCTAACCCAACCCTCCTCTCCCATTGTGCCTGGGAACTGAACAGCTGAGAACCAATGGCTCCATCTCTCTCTGATCGCTGATCTCAAGAAAGCCTGCAAGGAAGTCTTCCCTGTGGCCGAGTACGCCTACACGACGATCCCGACCTACCCATCCGGCCAGATCGGGTTCATGGTCTGCTGCAAGGACCCGAACCGGGATGTCAAGGAGCCGGTGCGGACGTGGTCCCGCGAGGAGGAGGAGCGGCTGTGCCGGTACTACAACAAGGAGATTCACCGCGCCAGCTTCATCCTGCCGAACTTTGCTCGCAAGGCACTGAACGTAGAGTCGAGCATCTTGCCGAGAGAGTTCTTATTCTACTGGCGATATTCAATGAAATGAATTTTTCTGATCATTGACAGCGCGGCCGTGACGATACGAATGATCAGGAAACAGCTCCCATGCAAAGTCCAGTCCGATCAGTCACGAAAGACGACGGAATAATGATGATGAGGATGGGATGGTAGTAAGATAGGTAAAAAAAGAAAAGAAAAGAAGGGAAAGAAAAAAAAGGAAAAAGACAAAAAAAATTGGTCGAAACCTGCGACCTGTCCTGTCCTTGTGAGCAGAGCAGAGCAGAGACGATACCCAATTGAACTGTATTCCACTCCAATCAATCAATTCAGTTGGCATACACTTGATTGTTAATTAGCTAGTTTGTGATTCTATCGGTCTATCGATCTATCTATTAGCCATCTAGATCGTCGCTTCAGTGGGGGTGTGGGGGTATTCTGTATGAGAAGGGAAAATAAAATAAAAATTCTTGCTCTAGTATCTATCATCTATCTATCTATATATGCGTATGTATGCGCCCGTATTGATATTTCTGAACTCTGTTCCTCAATGGTGGTACTAGGTAGGTAAATCTATTCCAGCTGCCGAATTATGGACTGTGTCTCCGTCTCTATCCCTGTCTAGAATTGAGCATTCACTAGGTATGTACGTACGTACTGTACATAAGTTAGTTCTAAGAGTACTAGCTTCTAGCTTCTAGCTTCTAATTTCTAGGTAGCTTCTATACCTTAGGTATATACATATGTATGCATGCATGTATACTGTACTAACGGTATGGAGTAGTCCAGACAAAACAATTCAGTTAGCATTGTTTGCTTGTATTCATCATCATTGTCGTCGTTGTTGTCGTCGTCGTCATCATCGTAACTCACTCTCTTCCACCTCTATCTACCAACTGACCCATTCTGGAGCCTCTCAGTACGCGCGAGTAAACTGCACAGGAGGCGTAATCTTGACGCCCAACTTCTTCGCCGCGCTAAGCACCCATGTCGGCTCGCGCATAAACTGCCGTGCAATGAGGACTGCGTCGGCCTGCGGACCGCTGCCATCGGCCTTGTTGTCTGCCAGCGTGGCTTCTGCGGCAGAGGCTTCAATGGCGGTTTCGTCGTCAGCACCCTGCACAATCTTCTGCGCGGCTTCGGCCTGCGTGATGAGTCCGACTGCTCCGATGAGCAGCGTCTTGATGCCCGCCGCACGGAGCTCCCTCCGGATCCGCCCCGCGATGTCCACCTGGTAGCTCGTGTGCGGCTCGATCTTCTGGTCCTTGTGGTTCCCGCCGGAGCTCACGTCTAGGAAGTCGATGCCCAGTTCGGGCAGCTGCTTCGCCAGCCGGATCGTCGACTCCACGTCCCAGCTCCCGCCCGCTGCGGCCGCCACGGGCTGCTCTTCCAGCCACTCGGTTGCGCTGACGCGCAGGAACAGCGGCATCCCCTCCGGGATGACGGCGCGGACGGCGGTCGCGATCTCGCGCACGATGCGGATGCGGTTCTCGAACGAGCCGCCGTACTCGTCCGTCCGCTTGTTCGTCACGGGGCTGAGGAACTGGTTGATCAGGTAGCCGTGGGCGGCGTGGATCTCGATCACGTCCACGCCCGCCTTGACGGCCAGCTCGGCGCTCTTCGCAAACGCCTGCACCACCTCCTTCACCTCGGCCGTGCTCAGCTCCCGCGGCGCCCAGTATGCCGTGCCCGGCGCCCAGATCTGCTCCTCGCCGCCTGTCGGCCCGACGACGTTGGACGGCCATCCGCCGACCTGCTCGTCAGCGCGGAGACTGCGCACGCCGTGCTGCGCTGCCAGCCAGGGCGCGACGACGCTGGCCTTCCTCCCCGCATGCGCCAGCTGGATACCGATCTTTGCGCCCTGGCTATGGACAAAGTCGACGACGCGCTTGAGGCCCTTGAACTGGGGGGAGTCTTCGCCCAGGTCGAACTGCCAGAGCCCGGAGTCGTTGGGCGAGATGCGCCCGTTGGGCTGCACGGCCGTGGCCTCGATGAAGATCAGCCCGGCGCCCTTGAGGGCCAGATGGCCGAGGTGCGCGATATGGTAGTCGGTCAGGGCGCCCACGGTTGGAGCGCTGGGGTCCGACTCGGCCGAGTACATGCACATGGGCGCGACGATGATGCGGTTCTTGAGCGTGACATTGCGGATTGTCAGCGGGCGGAAGAGCGTGGGTGTGTTTTCGTTGATTTCTGCCGCGGCGCCGGCGTTATTGGCTGGTGTGAAGTATGGGATGCCCTCTGCTTGGACGACAGCGGGGGAGGGGTGATCAGCGGGCATATTTATCAAAAACGAATACGTAGGTATGTACAGTACAAGAAAAGAAAAAAATAAATGGAAATAAACAACTAACTGCAGGAATCAGAATCAATTGACACGATATCAAAAACAAAAAGGCAAAATATGGACGAACAATCAATCTGAACTTGCACAGCAACAAATAATCCTGATTATAAATCGATCGATGGACGGAGAGCGGAGACGGCGAACCTCCGAGTTCGGCCATACAATTCTATTGCCTGTTAGGGAAGAACAGCACTCTGGTCACGTGTGCGCTAGCCTGTATTGGGATTAGACTCTATTAAATCGATTATGTAAGATACCTATATAACGTAATCCACCACCGAGCTGCGCGGACCACCGAG